CCCCTCCCGCTGCCGCCTCCGCCCCGCTTCCCTCTCGCTGCTGCCACCTCTCCCTTCTCCCTCACGCCCTCGGTCCACTCCTCCCCAGGCAGGCTCTCGGTGACCCTGCTTAGGCGGCGTGCTGGGCGCTGCAGAAGCTGGGGTGAGCCAGATGAGGCCACTGTTCCCAGAGGTAGCAGATAGTCCAGAGGAAGCAGCACGGGCTGCCTGGAGGAGGTGGCAGGCCGATAGGAGGCTGAGGAAGCCTAGGAGCGAATCTGCATGGGAGGGGAGATGTTGTTCCTGCGGGCACAGGTCTGTGCAGGGGGCACGTGGAGCTGAGGTGGAGGTGGATAGGAGTTTGGGTTCCAGGATGTGCATGATCAGGAAGAAGGTAAGGGAGTGGGGCTGGATCTCCGCGTGCCTCATCAGCTCCATCCCGGACATTACACATCGGTGAAGCTGGTTAATGTGCCCGTGTACATCTGTGCAAGTTACCTGCTCATGGGACCATGGCCAAGGATGGACCTGGGGCACAGACTTCTTATTCATCTGCATTTGACTCTCCAGGGGGGTGCGGCAGAGGGGAGACATTCAGAAGGGACAACAGGGTAGACCTTGCTGTGATAGGGAAGGGCAGGGACCGTGGGCTCCACAGAAGGGACTTGTCATTCCCGCCCTTAGGAGACAGGGCCTCTGCTGCTGTTGCTGGCCTCTGCGTGAATGAGAAGGCCCCACCTCTGGGAAGTCACAGCCCACCTCACCCGTGCCAGGGTACAGGTGCGGGGTGCAGAGAGCAGAGCGGGGAATAGGTTGTTGATGTTTAAGGGCATAGGCCACTAAGAGGCAGGCTCACAGGTGCCCAGGCCCAGTGTGCGTCCACCCACTCGCCCCTCTTGCCCTCTCATTTCCATTGCAGAGGGGCAGAAGACGGGGCTGCAAGAGGTGTTAGTCCCAGGCCTGGATGCCCCTTTGTTTCATGAACAGCCTCTAGAGCCCTATTACTTCCCACAAAGGGCAGCCCCTTGGCAATGGCTGTGGCCTCCTGATGGAGAGCCCAGCAGGTACTCATGTCTTTACCCCTTCTATCCTTGCTCATTCAGCCCTGCTCTGTGCCAACCCCGTCTTGGGCCTAGAGGTGGTGCCAAGGTGCATCAGTCATGGCCCCAGCCCCAGAGACCTGTGAGGTCTCTGACTGGTGGGGAGACAGACCATCAGCAGACAGTGAAATACAGGTATGATGTCAACAAAAATGTATGGAGCACTTACTATGTGCCAGGCATTGTCTGAGGCCTGGGGATACAGTGTAGAAATATATGAGGTCCCTCCTTTCTCTCCTGTAACTGACATTTTAATTGGGAGAGGTAGACACAAAAGCAAGAAAACAAAAAAGATAATTTCAGATCATGATAACTGCTATGAAAAAAATAAAACATGGTTCTGTGAGAGTGATGGCAGGTAACTTTAGAGAGGTGATCAGGGAAGACCCCTCTGAGGAGGTCACATTTCACTGAACGGCAAGAATGAGCCTGCTATAGGTTGGATGTGTGTGTCTTCCCCAAATGCATATGTTGAAACCTAATTCTCAATGTGAGGGTATATGGAGATGGGGCCTCTGGGAGGCACTAGGGCATGAGAGGGATTAGTGCTTTTATAAGAGACCCGGAGAGACCTCTGGCCCCTTCTACAACATGAGATCACCACAAGAAGAGGGCTGTCTATGAACAAGGAATGGGGCTCTCACCAGACACCAAATCTGCAGGTACCTTGACCTTCGACTTCCCAGCCTCCAGAACTGTGAGAATTAAATTTCTGTTGTTTATAAGCCACACAGTCTATGGTATTTTTTTATGGCAGCCCAAACAGACTACGACAGAGCCCAACCACATGATAATCAGGGGGAAAGGCATTCCCGTCAGAGGGAAGAGCAGTGTAGAGGCCTTGAGGTGGGTGGGCTGGAGCCTGGTGATGAGGAGAGGGTGGTGACCAGGTGGGGTCAGAGGGATGCAGCAAGGCCTGATCACATGAGGGCTTTACAGGCCCCAGTAAGGAGTTTGGATTTTGTTCTAAGCACAAGGATGCCAGCTGGGACAGCAGGGTGCCTAGGACTGTGGAGTCTAGGATGGAGCCCCTCCTGCAGACCAGGTTGACCTCCCCAGCTCAGCCTCTCCTTCTTCACTCTGTGGTCTTAGGAAAGCTAGTCCCCATCTTTGAACCTCAGTTTTTCATCTGCAAAATGGGGGTAATGGGATATTTCCAAGGTTCATTCTAGTTTTAAGATAATTATGTAGATTGAAGTTCAGAGGCAGCAAGGTAGAGAGACTCAAGAGCATGAGGTCTGGGTGAGACTGCCTGGGCTTAAGCCTGTTCTTCCCCTTCCTCGCTATGTGACCTTGAGCAACTCACTTAACCTTTGTGGCTCAGTTTCTTCATCTGTAAGATGGGAATGGTGACAGTACTCACTTCACAGTGCTTTTGTGTGGATTATGTTAGATAAGATTGTGTATGCATAGCATGTAGTATACAGTAGTTGCATAATAACTGTTAGTTATGTTGCTATGATGCAAACACAAGTCCCTGCTCAAAAAACGCTGATGACTTCTCAACACTCAAACAATATAGATTGAGCCGAGGCATTCCTTGACCACCCTTCCAAAGTGGGTCTTTTCTCACATGATCTCACAAATGACCAGGTGCCAACGAGGGCACGCCTTGTCTCTCCACAGCCCTTCCCCCACCCCCCAGAGGTTCTCTGGACTCCTCTCCCCAATTTGGGCCACTTGCCTCTCTCCCTAGTCAGCCTGTGATCTCCCCAAGGAGGAATCAGCTCTCCTGCATTTCTGGGGCCCTGGCACAGGCCACATTTTACCAAAGTTTGTTCCTGCCTTTACTGAAGGTTTCTGTACCCCCAGGAGGACTGTGTCTTATCATTCTTATATTCAGAGGATAAACACAGGCTTGACATATAACAAGCATCAGATAAATGATGTTTAAATACTTGAAATCAAGTTAAAAGGAAAAGCCTATCAAGTCATAGTGATAGTCCAGTGATGGCGAACCTTTTGAGCTCGGCGTGTCAGCATTTTGAAAAACCCTAACTTAACTCTGGTGCTGTGTCACATATAGAAATTTTTTGATATTTGCAACCATAGTAAAACAAAGACTTATATTTTTGATATTTATTTTATATATTTAAATGCCATTTAACAGAGAAAAATCAACCAAAAAAATGAGTTCATATGTCACCTCTGACATGCGTGTCATAGGTTCGCCATCACTGGTGATAGTCAATACTTATTGTACACTTGCTGGTGGTCCGGCACCATCTAAGTCAGCGGTTCTCAACCTGTGGGTCACGACCCCTTTGGGGGTCGAAAGACCCTTTCACAGGGGTCGCCTAAATACATCCTGCATATCAGATATTTACATTACGGTTCATAACAGTAGCAAAATAACAGTTATGAAGTAGCAACGAAAATAATTTTATGGTTGGGGTCACCACAACATGAGGAACTGTATTAAAGGGTCGCGGCATTAGGAAGGTTGAGAACCACTGATCTAAGTGCTTCAATTGCTTTAACTCATTTAGTCCCGACAACAGCCCCACGAGGCGGGCTTTACGTTTATCCCATGTTACAGGTAAGCAAACGGAGGAACGGGAAATCACACAGCTAGTAAATGGCAGAGCCAGTATTCGAACCTACATGGCAGGACTGGGAAGTTTTCAGGGCACATACGTGGTTGAAATCCAGTGAGGGGCAAAGGGAGAACGCCTAACCCTTGGCACATACCAGACACCAAATGGACACTGAGGTTCGGGTACAACTTCTGCTGCCCAGGGGACTCCTTGTCCTCATCTGTCCTCTCCTTCTTCATTCTCAACTGACTCAAACATATGGGCTGTGCACACTCCTGGGGTTCCAAAGAAAACCCTCAAACCCGACCCCGAGTACAATGATTCCCCGTGAAACGGAAACAGGTGACATGCCATCTGCTGCCCCACCTCAGCCTCCATATTCTGCCTCTGGAGCCACCAGAGGCCCAGCAGCCCGCCCTACGCACACTCTACTCCTTCGCCCTGCCCCCAAGAACAGGAGTTTCAGGCCTCCTCCTCTGCCTAGAACACTCTTGCACTGGTTGACTTCTAGTCATCCTTTGGGCCTCAGTTCAAATGTCTCCTCCTCTGGGAAGCCTTCCAGTCTCCTCCAGAGAGGGCCTGCCTGCTCCTGGCTCCCACAGCACTGTGTGTCCCCAGCTCTCTGATCACACTGGGCTGTCATCGTTGAACCATCCATCCAATGGGGAGCTCCCCAAGCCAGAAACAGGGTCATCCTCATTCTTACTGTGTCCCCAGTGATGACTCATTAAAGGGAAGTGTGAATATGAATTCTCTCCCAGGCCAGGATTAGGGCCAGAGGGCTTTCGGCATACACATCCCTGCTGCTGCCCCCCACCCCCACCCCCGAGCCTGCTCTTGCTGGCCTTGTGCTAGGCAAGGGGCACAGATGAACTAGACTCCACCATGGCTCTTGAGATCTCTGGTCTTATCACACTGTGACAGCTCAGGGGCATCAGCCTAGGTACCCAAGGCTGTGTCACATGCCCAGTATGGGTCCTGAGTTCATCACAGCTGAGCTCAAGGCAGCAGAGCTCTCCCTCTGTAACTACCTGCATGTTACAGAAGTCTAGTCCAAGTCTTTCATTCTGTACTGTGAGCCAGATCTCTCTCTCTCTCTCTCTCTCTCTCTCTCTCTCTCTCTCTCTCTCTCCCTCCTCTCTCTCTCCCTCCCTCCCTTCCTCTCTCCCTCCCTCCCTCCCTCCCTCTTTTTCTCTCTCCAGAGTGTCTTCCATCCTATAAAAGAGGGATTCTAATTCATTGCATGAACCTTGTACAGTCACAAACTGCCATGATTTAAATAACTTGTTAACTGTATGACCTGAGACAAGTTACTGGAACTCCCTGTACCTCAATTTCCTCATCTATAAAACAGGGATGACAACGTTACCTAATAGTAACCCCCAAAGGTAGCCCCTTGAAACAACAATGGTCATTTATTATCTCACAGTGTCTGTGGGCCAGGAATTGGGGAGCAGCTTAGTTGGCTCCCGACGTTGGCTGGGCTGAATCTTCTGCAGGTTTAACTGGGGCCCGAGGGTCGGCTCACTCACATGGCTGACAAGTTCACTTCGTTTTTCAGCCACATATTTCTCCACAGGACTGCATGAGTGTCCTCACAACATGGCAGCCAATTTCCCCTATAGTGACTGACCCAAGAGAGAGGAAGAGAAAGCAAGGAGGAGTGACGAAGCCTTTTATGACCTAACCATGCAAGTCACACTCCATCACTTCTGCAATGTCCTGTTGGTTACACAGACCGGTCCTATTCCCTGTGGAAAGGGACTCTACAGGCGTGTGACGGCCAGGAGGCAAAAATCACTGTGGGCGCCTTGGAGCCTGGCTGCCACACTGTCTCATAGGGTTAGTGAGGATGAAATAAATTCATATATATACAGTGCTCAGAAGAGTTTTCTATACGTAGCACACCCTATATAAGTGTTTGCTTATTACCTTATTATTGTTGTTTCTAGTACATGGTAAGCCCTCCACGAGGATTATCTACAATTATCATGGACATTATTGCTTTTCGCTGTCGAACCCCTTCACTATACAGAGGGAGACACCCAGGAACTGGGAGGGTGAGAGTGTCTCAGAGTTCAGAGCAGACTAAGGCAGAGCAGGACAATTGCAGCCTCAGTTTCCTTCCTGCTGGACGTGTGCTCTCAGGGAGCAGGCCTCACATCTGAGAGAGAATCACTGATCGGCTGCCTCCTGCACGCTCCACATTGGGGATCAAGCCCGCAACCCAGGGCATGCGCCCTGACCAGGAAACACACAGCATTTC